TCCTGAGTAGCTGGGATTACAGGCACGCGCCACCATGCCCAGCTAATGTTTTGTATTTTTAGTAGAGACGGCGTTTCACCATGTTGGCCAGGATGGTCTCGATCTCTTGACCTCGTGATCCACCTGCCTCGGCCTCCCAGAGTGCTGGAATTACAGGCTTGAGCCACTGCACCTGGCAGGCCTAGGGGCTAATTTTTTCATTTTTCTTTTGTAGAGATGGGGTCTCACTATTTTTGACCAGGCTGGTTTGAAACTCCTGGCCTCAAGCGATCCTCCCACCTCAGCCTCCCAAAGTACTGGGATTAAAGATGTGAATCACACTGTGTCTGGTCCCTTTGTTGCTTTTTTACAAGGCTGAGTAATATTTCACTGGTTGTATATAATATATTTTGCTTTCTATTTACAAATATGTATGGAGTGACTGCAAATAAGGTTCCTGGTTCTTGCTCATATGAAGTAACTACATGTATGGTGATGCCACAGGCAGGATAAAGTCATAAATGACTGGGGTCAGGAGTCTCTAAACCTGTTCTGTAAAGGCCAGATACGTATGGTTTTATAGGCCATATGTGGTCCATATTGCATGTTGTCTGTGTTTTCCTTCCTTCCTTTTTCTTCCCACCTTCCTTCCTTCCTTCTTTAAACTGTACTTTAGGAGCCCCAGGCTAGATTGATTCCACAGGTCTAAGCTGCTGATCCTTAATCCAGAGAAAAGCTGTCAAAGGATCTGGCTCCTAGTTGAGAGTTGGGGTTTTTTGGCTTTGTTTTGTTTTTTGTAATGGGATCTTGCTCTGTCACCCAGGCTGCATTGCAGAGGCATGCATGATCACGGCTCACTGCAGCCTCGACCTCCTGGGCTCAGACAATTCCCACCTCAGCTTCGGGACCACAGGTACACTCTACCACGCTTGGATAGTTTTTTTTTTTTTTTTTTTAAATCTCTGTGTTGTCCAGGCTGGCCTCAAACTCCTAGGCTCAAATGATCCCCCTACCTTGACCTCCCAAAGTGGTGGATTAATTACAGGTGTGAGCCACTGCACCTGGCTGGCTTTGGAGTTTTTGAAATACTGATTGAACTGTAGGTTCATTTGCATGTCATGTAAGAAACCATACAGATAAATATTTTGCAAAACTGTAGTGTAATATCACAACCAAGATGTTGACATTGGTAGAATTCACATATTTTACTCAGCTATCCCCCACAGATGCAACTTTGGTTGGTCCACATAGGGTTTTGTTACTGTTTTCAAGACAGTCTCAAGCTCCTCCTGGGCTTGATCCATCCTCTCACCTCGACCACCTGAATAGCTGGGATTACCGGCATGTACCGACACACCTGGCTCTTGGTTATGATTTTTAATTTGAAATTATTGCCAGAATATCAGTGTTGGTAGATTGTGGTGAAAGTCCTGATCCCTAGCTTCCCTTAGGTTGAAGGATGTAGTAATACTGGTCCTTCATTCTCTGCGTGGCAACAGGTGGCTGGGCATGAGGAGTGGTGGCCCTAGAGAGTTCATTCCTGGTCTTTGTTTGCCTTTGAGCCTCCTCTGCATTAAGCAGCAATACTTCTAAGTGTGTAACCTGTGCTACCTTTAGGAAGACAATGTCAGAATCACTTTGACTTTACAGTAATGACATAAACAATGTTTCTTGAGTGCAGTGGGTCACGCCTGTAATCCCAGCACTTTCGGAGGCCGAGGTGGGTCAGGAGATGGGGACCATCCTGGCTAACACGGTGAAACCCCATTTCTACTAAAAATCCAAAAAAATAGCTGGGCATGGTGGTACGAGCCTGTAGTTCCAGCTACTTGGAAGGCTGAGGCAGGAGAATCGCTTGAACCCGGGAGGGGGAGGTTACAGTGAGCCGAGATTGTGCTACTGCTCTTCACCGGCCTGGGTGACCCCGTCTGTCTATATATACATAAAGTTTCAAATCATTAGAACAAGTAAAAGACCAAGGGTCTTTAATATCCACGCAGCAGAAAGTAAAATAATGTGTTTTTTATTATGAGAATTAATATAAAAAGTTAATAGTCCCGCAAACAATGATTTATTGTGTAGAAGGCAGGGAACTCCTTTTACTTTGAAACTTTTTTTCCTTCAGTTTAGCTTCAGAAATGATTGTTTCGAAACTGATCAGTCTTCATTAAAGAAAAAATGAATTTTCCAGTTGTTTTCCCTTGTGTTAAATGGAGTTTTAAGAGTAACTCCTTCCTGTTAAAGTTTCTCTTATAAATCCAACTTTAAAAAGTTAAAAATATATACCTGAATCCAGCATTGTCTAATGCTTCCCTTCCATTTTTACCTCCATATGTGTGGATAATTTGTTCAACATTTTAGCTTTCTGCTGTCATACATAGCTTTGCTGTTTACAGACCACTTTATCATGTGATCTCTCACTTTGCCCTTCAACACCCTGTGACGTAGGGAAAGACAGTACTGATGGAATAGACCAGTGCTGAGGACTGGGGCCATCCAAGGCATTCTCTTGGAGGGTTGTGAATTCTATTGAAAGGACAGTAACTTTTTTTTTCATTTTACTGAGAAATGTTAAAAACATACAGCAGAGGTGAAATAATTTTCTATGAAGACCCCTAATGCCTGCTACCGAGATTCTACCATTTATACTTGGTTTTTCTTATCTCTCTGAGGCTGCTTGACTGGAATTCCAGGTACAGGAAACAGAAGAAGCTAATTCTAAATAGTTATCTGAAGATAGCATTGGTTTTTAACCTTCATCTTTAGCCAGAATTAAGATCCAGTAACTGCCCTTTGGATGTGGCTGTGTTAAAGTCTTTGAAACAAGTAGTTTCCATTCTTTCTTGAAGTTACCTATCCATGTACTTACTTAGTGTTACAGTCTCAAATGATTATATTTGCTGATGTGATGGTGCGAAAACATGTCTTAAAGTGTGTATTATAAAATGTTTCTATTTTGTCATTTTTTAAAAACAGATAAGAAACAACAAGAAAACTGCCATCTTAGTTAAAGAAGTGAATCCTAAAAAGAAACTTTTCTTAGTTTATCGACCGAATACTGGGAAACAGCTCAAATTAGAAATTTATGCTGATCTAAAAAAGAAATACAAGAAGGTATTTTCTAATTTGTACATTATGTTATATAGGAATACTTATTTTGGCTGGGCACAGTGACTCACGCTTATAATCCCAGCACTTTGGGAGGCCAAGGCGGGTGGATCACCTGAGGTCAGGAGTTTGAGACCAGCCTGGCCAAAATGGTGAAACCTCGTCTCTACTAAAGATAAAAAAAAATAGCCAAGTGTGGTGGTACACGCCTGTAATCTCAGCTGCCTAGGAAGCTGAGGCAGGAGAATCACTTCAACCCGGGAAGCTGGGTTGCAGTAAGCCAAGATCGCACCACTGCACTCCAGCTACGGCGACAGAGTGAGACGCAATCTCAAAAAAAAAAGGAAAAAAATACTTATTTATAATAATACTTTGAAACTGTTTAAGATAGTTGCTCTGGGTATGAAATTACTTTTTTCTTTTTTGGTTACTGTTTTGTAATGAGGTCTCGCTATGTTGCAAAGGCTGCACTGGTCTGGAATTACTGGGCTCAAAATACTGGAATTGCAGGTGTCAGCCACGACACCCAGCCTGGTTTAAGGAAAATGTGAACTTTTGTTATGCTAATACCACAGTCTTAATGTTATCAGGCTTAAACTTCTAAGATGTCTCCTGCCCTTGCCCAGGATGGAGTGCAGTGGCTTGATCTTGGCTCGCTGTAACGGCCTCCCCGGTTTAATTGATTCCCATGCCTTAGCCTCCATTGCACTCCAGCCTGGGCGACAGAGCAAGACTCTGTGGGAAAAAAAAAAAAAAAAAAAAGTCCTTTTCACTACCTCTTAGTTTTATTGTGAGGATGCTTCTGTGTTTATATTTTGCAGTGATTTATAGAAAACAGTAAGTGACTATTTTTCCTAACATTTACTATTATGTTTTATTTTATTAATATTATATCTAGCCATTCTCATTTGAAAACAATTATAGTTAATTTAGTTATTTGAAAACTTTATTACATAAGAGGAACCAGCATGACAGAACTTTTCAAATGGCATTCAGATTCAGCTAATATCGAGGGTTAAGTTTTTTGGGTAGAGATTATTTTAAATTGGCTGCCTCTAGAATTACCAGATTAGGTAAGCAGTTTATTTAAAGAAATGCTGTTTTCAGTGAAATTTCTCTCATTTTTACAGGTTGTCTCAGATGATGCCCTGATGCACTGGTTAGATCAGTATAATTCATCTGCAGATACTTGTACTCATGCTTATTGGTTAGTATTTTCGTGTTTCCTACCATGTTTTCCAAAATTTAATTGAGATTTAAATGCACCTTCACTCTTTGCTGGTGTGTCCTCATGAATTAACGAACAGATTAAGTATTGCCAGGCATGGTGTGTTCCATCAGGAATATTTACTGGACAGCTGTGGACCAGGAACTGTTTATGTACCTCCTTACTCTTCACTGATGCTTTTTTATTTCCAACCGTTTTCTGGCAGCATGAACTTAACACTCATCCTTTATATTAGAACTTGCTTTTTCAGCTGAGTGCAGTGGCTTACGCCTGTAATCTCAGCATTATGGGAGGCCTGGGTAGCCCGATCATCTCAGGTCAGGAGTTCGAGACCAGGCTGGCCAACATGATGAAACCCCATCTCTACTGAAAATACAGAAATTAACCAGGTGCGGTAGCAGGTGCCTGTAATCCCAGCTCCTCAGGAGGCTGAGGCAGGAGAATCATTTGAACCCGGGAGGCGGAGGTTGCAGTAAGCCAAAATCGTGTCATCGCACTCTAGCCTGGGGGACAAGACTGAAATTGTCTCCAAAAAA